TATATATATATATATATATACACAATATATACAACATTTGTTCGTGAAATTTAACATTAATGTCTTAGATGTTACAAAGTGATAAGTAAATTTAATATATTTTTGCGAAATTGCAAATTGTATATTATAGCTGGCTATAGAATTCGCGAAACATCTTATTTTATCTCGCTTTTACGAAGAAATATATTTATAAAGTATATAATTAAACATTTATTAAAGAAATTTTTAAATTATGTTTTGTATTAAATATATTAAATCATTAAAAAGTAATTAGAATGCCGCGTTATTTTAACATTTATAGATACCATTTCTATCTCGATAATGGGGTTTCGTTACTATTATCTCTTGCGTCAAGTGGACGTTAATAAATATTGTGATTAGGCAGTCGTAATGATTTTCGACATGGAAAGTTTATTTTCCGTCAGTTTCCATAAAATCTATCCGAAATGTCTAGTTCAGTATCTCAATGAATCTGAGGATTTCCGTTACAGGAAAATTTGAAATTAATTTTGGATTTTCTTGACAGTCTTCGGAAGTAATGATTTCAGCAAGAAATAACAATGACAACGATGTAAATTAATTAATTTTTTTTAAGTTGAATTTTTTAAGTTGTTTAAATAATATATGAGAGAAGAGTTCTTCTCTTTAAATATTCTTCCATTAATTATTTTTAATGTTATTTTGATTAAAAAGGTTTAGCAGATTGAAGTAGGTGATAGTAGTTGTTTATAGAAACTGAATTACTTTAAATAAATCACAAATTTTTGTCGCGACTTCTTTGAGAAAAATATTGTTACAAATGAATATATCTTTTATTTTAATCTTTAGTTTCTTTTAAGAAACTATTTTCAGGCACTGGTCATCTCTCTAATTGAGAACATTAATTAATTTTTAAATATTCCAGAACGTTTGTTATAACATAATTGTATTTTAAATATTTTTAGTTGTTTTATATAATGAAATATATACGCAGTGTATACATTATATATAAGAAATTTTTCGCTTTTATTTACTTGATAAAATTTTATCAAAAAGATTTACTTATTTGAATAAATTATGGTGATGATACAATGAACATAATTAAAAATGTGTGAGCATTTATTAAATTCGATTGGGTACCTCGATATCAGTAAGATTTTGGTAACTTTAATTATTTAAATGTTACATTTAATATATTTAGATTATTTAATTATTAAACTACATTTAATGAAATATTATAGAAGAATAGAAAACGATGTGAATCTTATTCATTAAATATTTGATTATGAAATTAATTGAAATGTTATTGTTATCGATTCGCCTCGAACAGTTGGTACCTGAGAATTTTTGTACTCACACATTTAATAAATTATAATAAAAACGTATGTATTTTATTATTTCAAAGTATAATCATTTGTAACTACTCTTTAATAGAAATTGTTCTATCCGTGTCCTTTGATAATAAAAATGTATATTTGTAATAGTGGAAAATATATTTTCTCGCGCGAATCTTGATCGCACGTAAAAAACTGAAATGAATATCAATTAAATTACCAATAAAATATTTTATTTGAAAATTGTACTTGCATTATACTTGCATTATGCAAAGATTTAGAAAAAGTGATAGTTGTTAACTCACTACCGAAATAGTTGCTATTGAGAGCAGTTCAGAAAATCCAGGATTTACCTATTTCCTCCTGTAGTGGAGTTCTTGGTGTTCATTAGATCACTTAACTTTCCTTTGCGGATTAACCTCGTGGAACTCGACAGAAGTAGAGCACAATTTGTTCTCTAACATGTAGATCGTTCTTCTTTGTGTCGGATACTATTCAATGAACCACTCGGCGGAAAGACTTGATCTAGTCGAATTGTTGGATTATTTCCTATTGAACGCGGTGATAATGCGATTTTTAAAGTAAAACGGAAATTAGAATTTATACACGATTAAATATATCAACTAATTTATTTGATTGTGTTATTAACATGAATGCGATATTGCGAAATATTTTTCGGTACGTATCGTGTGAAGTAATAATTATGCGAGACTTACGCTGCAACAGAAATAAAAATTGTGTATATTAGAATTGATTGATATTATGTCGTTTGTTATATATGTTTTTATTTGATTATTGTCTTACACTAAAGCTTTGCTATTTTTTGTGTACTATATATTTTGTTTGAATCTTGTAAAAATGTAGTTTTGATATGTATACAATTACTATGTATCAATAATTTACATTCTTTTTAATTGAAAGACATATATAATGAATTTAATAACAATCTTTTTGGTTACGGTTAGTCGTATTAATTATTATCAATAAAGCAAAATAAACTTTACAATTGCTATTTGATTACTAAAAAACGTTACGTCATATATAGTTATTTGTTCATATTCACGTATTTTACATTGCATTGTGACACAAAATTGTATTTTTATACGCATATGGGACAAACGTTTCGCGTGTTATTTTATATTCTAAAGAAATTATGTATGTATTCTCATATGTATTGTTATATTTTTAATTTTATATAATGTAATTCTTTTGTTATATATAGTGTAAAATAATTGTATACCAAATAATAACAATGTGTAAACAATAACAATGTGAAAAAATATACCATAAATGGGGTAAAACTTTGATCTAGTCGAAATATCTTTTACCTAAATTTTGAAAAACGCTTTGACGACACGCATATCTAAAATCATAACGTCTTTAAGACGTTTTTCAGACTTTATTTCTAAATTTTGACATGTGTGTTGTTTGGTTATTATTAAAATTTGTGTCAAAGTTATTCCGATTTTAAGCCTATCTCATTTTACAGTATGTTGTGTCCTGTATAAAAACGTAGGTTCAATAAGTCTTAAATCTTAAGAAATTGATCAATCTTAGTTGAGAAGAATATTCGACTATGATCGATCAATTTCTTAAGGCTTAACATTTACTACACCTATTGTGTATTGGGATTAAAGAAAAGAGATCCGCCGATTGAAATTGGCGG